CGTTTTTTTTTTATTCCTTATCAAATTTTCTACATATAAAATCTTAAATAGCGTGGGAACTGACTATTCATATTAACAATCGTCAGACGGAAACATCCTTCGTTTGCATTATCCCACGCCGTATATTAAATATTCCTCTGCATTATCCGGAGCAGCTAGTCTTTCTCTCTCGCTCCTCCGTCTTATATCACTGGATACGCTATTTAGATTATAATAAACTTTTGATATGTTATTTAGAAAATAAAATATACTCATGGCAATATTTTATACGCCATTATGTTTTTCAAATGTTTACAATTATTTCATTACCAAAAATAACGAAGCGCTGAAACGACAAATAAGGCATAAGAATAGATAGCGTCAAGGATAAGGGAATATTCCCTTAGCCTTGGGTAGAGTGGAGCTAGCGTGAGCCGGGAAGACGGTCTAAAGACACTAAAAAATATGTTAATAATAAGTTTCGCAGAACCTACATCCTATATATACCCCACCATCATTATATTAATGAACTTCTGTCATTTCATTTCACATCATCTATTTTCACCAACAGTTTCGGAAACAATATGATAAATTAGGTTATTTGATGATGCACTTCAAATTATATATTTTTATCTCAAACTTTAAACATTTATAATAAATATTTTTTCTATATGCATATGATTGCGAGGGGCAGAGCCAAGTGGCCCCTCATACTCAAGCTAACCCCAGCCAAACCGTGCTTCGTGATTCCAACCACGACTGGAGTTCATGGTTCGTAGGAGGCACCTAAACGAAATAAAAGGAAAACAAGGGATTTAGTACCTAAGCCTTTACACTCGTTACCCTCGAAATTTTTGGCCAAAACCATTTGTTAATTTTTGGTAGGTCAAGAGGCGCAATTTGAGACGGTGCATTATTCGCACCCACTAATATTTATTCATAATGTGTGTGTGAGAGAGAGAAGGGAAAGGGGAGTGAGGACACACCTACATATATATGTGCGTGTGTACACACGCGCACACACATGCACACACACATATATTATATTCAGATGAATATATGTGTATATACATACACACAGTCCTATATACACAACACACGTATAATATATATAAATGCATATACAGTATTACAGAATGCATATACAGTATGTAAAAATATACACATTGGAGTGTTTTCTTTATGCATATATGTTTCAACATACATATCAATACAAATGCACACACACACACCAAACGCATATATAACACACGCACACACACACATATACACATATATTTTCTTTTGCGTGTGTATGTGTGTTCAAGTGTTCTGCTTTAGGGGAAAAACAACTCACAGCTGTAGATATTGAAGTATTCTTATTTCTTTTTCATACGAAAGAATTTGCCTAGGTGGTGTTATTTCAGAAGCTGCAGTCTCAGCAAATATCAGATATATATTGAATGGTAAGAGAGCTCGAGGGACAGTCGGCGGTACTATCAGGTGAGTCCACTGGTGCATGTTTTTCTTTTTTTCTTTTATATATGTATGCTTAGATATAATTAATAAAAATATATCTTCATAAGTAACGTAAACGTATAAGCGTCATATAATTTCAAATGTACTTTTTATTATGATAATTTCAATCGCATTTTTTTTTCTATTCTACTCTTTCATGTGACCATATTTGTGCAGACGAAAAAATGTTGAGGATCGTAAGCCTGGCAGTGACTTTGGCCGTGTGCGTGGCACGACCCAACCAATGGGACGACCAGCTTGGGCTCTTCCCTGCCGACGGCGGAGACTCTCAGCCCATCTTGCCTCGCGCCGTCGCCAACCCTACCCCCCAACCAGATACTCGACGCAGTGCTCGAAGGAGCTATCGCATACATGGAGTAATATTTTATTAGTAGTGATCTTTTGGTGTTTTTTATGTTATCATTCCTTATCATATTGTATACTGATTTCATTAGTCTTCTTCATAACTGTTGTCCTTTAACAGAGCACTAGGATGGTGTGGATCCAAAAACGTGCAGAACGGAGAGTCAAACTGCCCTTCCAAGTCAACTCTGACGGAAGCAGCTCCGAGAACTTCAGCATCACTAAGGCCAACGTGACTGGACTCTGCTCCCTGCGCCGCTCCAAGTCCGCTTCCTTCAACGCCGACCAGGTATGAATGTCAAATGAAAAGAAAGATGTATGAAATAAGCTTAAAGGCATTAACTATTTAACGTCTGATTATTAGTGACCTACATTATGTATTTTTACAGAGTGTGCTCTCCGGTTCGGTTGTCGTGGAAAACGCTCGTGCCAACGCCTACACACGGTAACCTTTGCCGGTGTTGGAGAAGCTCCAGCCCAGACTGTTTCTGGTCAGGTTGTAGAGCGTGTGGACAAGCTGTTCGCAGATATCCAGATCAACTTGGACAACCTTGTGCCTCAGAACATCGCCAGCTACACCGCAAGATCGGGTCACGACCTGCTTGAAAGTGCAAGCAACTTGGACGGCAACAATATGAAGGACGTTCACAGCGCCGGCTTCAGGAAGGCTTTGCGAGAGATCCTGGAGAAAACCATGGCTTCCAACGTGAAGGTGCAGATTAACAAGTCCATCCAGGATATGAAGAATGCTTAATCTTTTTAGGTGATGAAATTATTGTGAGCTTACGGAGCCAAATAAAAACTAGCAACTTTGTACTCTTTGGTCAGTACTATCCATCAGCATGAGTGTGTGTGAATGTAAGTATACTTATACATTCACAGAAATACATCCACACATGTAAATACATTCATCTATCGTGATCAGAGTTACAATCTGAATGCACAAATGAATAATCACAGCTAGATATTAAAAGACGAGCAAAGCAACAGCACGCACAGGGAGACGAATCGCCTGCTCATGACAGCAGCTGGACTCCGAAACCACCTTAGAAGGAAGACAGTCTAGAAATTAGCAGTTGCTAAGAAAAAAGAGAATAGACTGGCCAGGAAGCACTTTCATTTTTTTATTTCAGTACTGAACTTTGTAACGTACATGAGTGTCTTGCGATCTGATACGAAGAGTTAAAGGAAATTACATTGGTTTGTATTTATGTACACTACCACTCTCCAGGCAAAACCTGAACTTAGCCTTTTATTTTCCGATTTTACTTTATTTGGGTTTGTTTTTAATAAACGGAAGTGCAAGAGAAAGAGGACCCAGAATTACAAGGAACATCAGTTTCAGGAGTAATGGCCCAAACAAAGTGCTCTACACTAATCTTAAATGAAATGATTTTAAAGGAAGGGTGATGCTTGATTCTCTATGTTCAAGTATGCAGAGTAATTTCAGACAGTGCTCATTTGAACAGACGTTTGCTTTACGTAACTACATTCGCGAACAATCCCTTACATTGTTACCCTCATTTACACGCACACACACACACGCACACATAAACACACACACACACACACACACGCATACACATGTACATTGACACACACACAAATTGATACACACACACATCATCGCACGCACACATACACAAAATAGACGCATGCACACAAAATGAACAATCGTATCCTTTCACGGAACGACATTCGTACTCTCTCACACTCACTCAAACAATCCCTTATGTAGTTACCCTCGTTCAACGCACACACACACACATGTATACATACAAGCACACATACACCTACATGCACATGCAGTCACAAGATAAACACATACACACATATGTAATCATAATACGCACCCATGCACACTCGCGCACATACACGCATTCACAGGCATCCGAACGCTAATACACATATACTAATATACATATATACACATACACATTCACGCATATGAATTCTTACCGATGCTTCAAAGACATAGCAAAACGTGATTGAATTATGAAAGAGTGGGCTAGAGAATTTGATGATAAAATCTTTATACATTCATACTGATTGCATTGTACATGAAAAGCCTGTCGTACCATAAGAGACTCAAAGCTTCCCTTTATGGTCAGTTGCCTTGACCAGTGTCAGACCGCAACCCTGCCAAAGTTGCGGACAAATATCAGGTCATAACGAGACAAGTGAAACAAGGCTGGGCAGCCCGTAGAATTCCGTAGCTTAATTCTACTGGAGGCTGACATCTACAACTTAGCGGACCGCGACACATACATACATACACACACTATAGATAAGCCCAAATCCATATAGTATATATAAACATCTACACACACATATATATGTGTGTGCGTAATATTTCAGAACGTGATGTTTACATTACGATAGAGAGAATAAAAAGAAATAAATCATATATTTACATGATGTTCGCAAAACAATCCATTTGTACACAAATCTATGGATGAAGTAAGAAAGAATATACATGCTTATATAAATATATGTATGTATTTGTATATATATGTATGCATGTACACACACACACACACACATATTTATATTATGTATGGGTGTTTGTGTTTGCATATATTTATGTAAATATGTCCATGCGTGTGCGTTTATGTTTATGTATTACTGAATATATAAGCATATAAATAGAACACACACCCGATATATATAGACAGTGAATAAATATACATACAGAACTACTTATCAACACTCACATACCCCCCCCCCTCCAGATTTATTTGAGAAATTTTTGGGTGCAGGGGCGGGTCCAGAAAATTTTCTCATGAACAAGGATGTAACAACAATAAATCTGCCGGGGGGGGGGGGGGGGCGAAAAGTAACAAAAAATAAGGCTGCCCACTTCAATATTTATGTCGTACAGTTACACATTGTTTATGTTTTCATCTTGTTTTCCTGGCCACATTAAATCTGCTGGGTGTACTTTACCAAGTGATAGGCTAACACACAGAACAGGATTTAGTCAGGAGTTGGTGCTTTTAGCTCTGTGCAGTGAACATAGCAATGTTCTGTGTAATAATTAGTTTTGGCTAATCATCACATAAATTCTTACAATGTAACGACACTATTTTATAATAATAGCAAATATATATATAATAAAAATATGAAATAGAGTTAGAAATAGAATAAAAATCTCAGTGTTCTGTGCAATTATGTTTTGATAAGACTAAGCACAATCATTACAATGAAATTTAGAACAGGAACAATATATACTTTGCTTTGCTTCCGTCTTAATGTGCAGCGTCGGTAAAGAACTTTGCGCAATGATTGACAGTACGACGAGTCAATGACCAGGGGGGGGGGGGCACACGGTGTGGCCAATCAGATTGCAGGAGAGGGGACCTGCAATCATAATCATTACATATTTCTTGTTCTTTCAATTCTATTGTTTTGTCGGTATGTGAGCTACCTTCTGTTCACTCTGAGGTGAATTTTGATCCCTATGTGTGTGTGCATGAGGATATGTATATGTGCGTATGATTTTAAGGGATATACTGTGTATTGGAGGTAATGCCGAAAATGACAAATAAAAATTAACAAACCAGTATAACAAGAAAACACGTTCGCTATTAGTTCATATTGCAGTAGTGTTTCAATATTCAACATGTACACACGAGCGTCCGCTTGTATGTCTATTTACACGAATGCCAACGTTTCTGTATAAGATATACATTAAATACACGTTGAAATGCAATAATCTTTAATCAGAAGTGAGTGTACATCATCGAGACAGGTAAAAGAGACTTCTGTTTGCCTATATTAGGTGAACGATATTCCTTAAACAGCCACTTTAGCCAAAGAAGAGCCAGCCAAAAGTGATGGTGGAGCCAGTGGGGAGCGTGAGCGTGGTGGTGAAGCACGTGGGAATGAAACACAGCAGGACGCAGCGGGTGAAGGTGACGCTCACTTGACGACGGTCTTGAACACTGTCATTCTGTTCTTCAGTGACCAGTTTGTAAACGGGAAGGTCGCCACAGAAGTTGGCAAGATCCGAGCCGATCTCCTCCTCAGGATTGTCGAGGGAAACAGCGGAAACTCTGACGTCAGACTCAACCCTCATGCCATCATCCTGATGGCCTTTGATGAAGGCTACTTGTTGCTCGAAAGATTTAACCAGTCGCCTCACGTAACACGCTTCCTGGGACACAACTCGAGATGCTGCTAGACCCTGCGAAGTATTGAGATATTTGGTTATTTCCCGGTCATTAATACTGAATTCATACAGTTAAAACAATTGAAGAATTGCTCATGCATTATCAGTTCAAAAAAAAATAACATAAAGTTCATCATGTTATCCAGTGATGACCTTACAAGTATTACTTACCACACTATAATCCTCCAGAGTTTCCACGTCATCGAAGTCGTCGGATTCAGGCATGTGGAAGTGAATTTTCATGGCAAGGCGGTCTACATCCACTTTCATGCAGCTGTTTTCAGCGGCGCTGTTTCCCTTGTAACATATTTGGTAATCCTGCCAAGAAAAACGGTCATCTTTTGTAATAGTAAGTATGCTTCACATGAGAGATAAACTAAACAGTTGTATATGTGATATAAAAGGTAATTTCTTGCTTAAACTTGCATATCAACAGCGTGTTCATACCTGAACCTCAGCCAGGGAGAAGCCTAAGAGGCAGGAGAGCATCAGCCAAGTGAACATGGTGTGATCTAGAAGGAAATATGACTAATTAAGTGGTATGAAAGTGACAGATCTTGAAATACATCCATTTCCAAACCCGAACCTAAGCAGAAATCATAGTGAGAAACAGTCCGCTTTGGGGTTTCCAGGGTGAAATAAAGAGATGAAATAAGAAGGGGATTATTACAGGTACGGGGGAAAAAATTAAAATCCATTATAAGAGGACACATTTATGCTACATAAAAATGTTTTGCAAGAATTATAACATAGCACATAAGACGGATTATTAGACAGGTAAGGGTATGAGAATCGTTACTCACCGAGGATAGCTACCACTGGTGATGTGAAATCGTCCGCGAAGTTTATATATCCCTCAGAATGCCGTACGACCTTTGGAAAGGAAGAACTCTTGTTCCTACTAAAGCACCACCTGTGAAAACATTTTTACGCTGTTTTCCATTCAAAATTTGTCAATCGGCAAAAAATCTTCAATGTCAGCTGATGATATATATTTGACTAAAAGAGATTCTGCTTCAAATGAAATATCGTATTAGAACATAATTTATTTTGCGTTCATTTCGTATCTATATATTTCTTTTTATTTGATCATATGTAAATTTAGAAGATAGCAAATAGAGGACGTGTCAGCACTCACCTCCAAAGGAAATATATTTAAAGCATAAACGTTTTTCTGCATAGATTTCAATTTCATTTACGTTTTCTGAGCATTATTAAATAGGAATGTTTGTATTCATATATATATATATATATATATATATATATATATATATATATATATATATATATATTTGTATATGTGTTTATACCCTTGTGTGTGGATATACATATGTATGAATGTATGTATGTAGATATGAATATCTATATACTTACATATATATGATTGTATTTGTAAATATACAGATATATACAGATATATGAACATATACAGTATATATGTATATATATTATAAACATATAGATACATAAATACATACATACACAAACACAAACATACATACATATATATATATATCATATATATTACGCATGCATGTAGGTGCGTATCCTTATTGCATACATATATATACATACACACGGAA